TAGCTCAAGAGTTGATACAAGCCGTGGCTGAGTTGGCTCATCACTGTGGCTCAGACCTCACCGGGGCTGCCCTCGCTGGCGTTCTCGACGCACTGTGGCTTTCAAGCCCTTTGCATTGCGTTTTTCTTCAAACCATGGACCGTGTGTTGTGCTTCTCACGGTACCATTACATGTTGCAAATCTTTTTCCAAGATGAGAGCTGCAGTAGGACTGAGCTCAGCCTTCTCCCTGCTATCCCGGCAGCAGCATCAGGGATAGGGATTGTACATTTTTATTGTCATGTTTATTCTGGATTTTTGAGTGTGGAGAGCAAGGTTTAGGATGAAAAAGTTGATATGGAGCTCTCTGCTGAATTAATCCTCAGGTGCGAGGCAAGTGTCTATCATGGGAGTCCCGGTCAGGACTGAAAGCAAAGCAGCAAAATGCCATGTGGAAGCTGAAGATGCACCATTGAATTTGGCAATGGATGAGCAAATTTGGTGTTGCTAAGTTGCCAGTTCAGAATATTGTCCTGATGGTGTCAGCTTCTTAGGCTGTGCTTGCCCAGAGCCTTGGGACCTACAGGACGCCCAGGCTGGCTTTGTGAGCCTGGGCTCTCTGTCCACGTTGGGAAAGTGGGTGGTACAGACATTCTGCTTCCCTTCTTGATGACCAAAAAGAGGTTCTTTTTGCTGTCATGCAGAGCACCCTTAACAGCTGTTTCTAGCCTGCTCTCCAAGTACTCTGAGGTTCAGTAGAGGATGAGATCACACAGAGGTTACAGAATGACTGCTTGGTACATGTGGAAAATACTTTTTCAGTTTTGTGTCTTATGGTAGGCAGGGGTAACCAAGAAAGAACGTTCTTAAATCCTGTGGGTTACTGAGCACTTGATACTAACCGAGCCATCAGTATCCCAGACCTTGTAATGGGGTCTGGGGTACACCTTGTGATTGCTGGGTCCAAAAAGTGCAACATTAAAACAAGCCATGAAGTGTTTAAGCTCAGTGTATGAAGTATAACACTGGGTTATAGCTCAGAGGCACAGAAAATTTTGGAAGTGTTATCTTGAAGTAAAGGCAATAAAACGGCCCCATCCTCCCAGGACCTGCCCTTTAGCTATTGCTCAGCATCGATGAGATCCCCTCTCAGTCTGCTCTTCTCCAGCTGAACAGCCCCAGGGCTCTCAGCCTTTCCTCAGCAGAGAGATGCTCCAGTCCCTGAGCATATTTGTAGCTTCTGCAGGACTCTCTGCAGCAGTTCTTGTCTTTCTTGAACTGGGGGGAACAGCACTGGTCCCAGCACTCCAGATATGGCCTCACCAGGACAGAGTAGAGGAGAAGGATGACCTCACTTGACCTGCTGGCCACACTCTTCTTGATGAACCCCAAGAGACCATTAGCCTCCTTGGCCACAAGGGCACATTGCTGGCTCATGGGCATCCTGTTGTCCACCAGGACTCCCAGGTCCTTCTCTGTAGAGCTGATCTCCAACCTCTCCTGGTGCAGGGGGTTATTTCTCCCCAGGTGTAGGACCCAACAATTGCCCTTGTTGAATTTCATCAAGTTCCTCTCTGCCCAACTCTCCAGCCTGTCCAGGTCTCGCACAGCCTTCTGGTGTGTCAGTCACCCCTCCCAGTTTTGTATCGTCAGGAAACTTGCTGAGGGTCCACTCTGTCCCCTCATCCAGGTCATTGATGAATAGGTTGAACAAGACCAGACCCAGTACTGACCCCTGGAGAACACCACTAGTTACATGCCTCAAACTGGACTCTGCACCACTAATCACGACCCTCTGAGCTCTGTCTTTCAGCCAGTTCTCCATCCACCTCACTGTCTTCTCATCTAACCCACGCTTCCAAAGCTCACAGATGAGAATGTTACGGGAGTCAGTGTTGAAAGTCTTGCTGAAGACAAGGTAGACAACAGCCACTGCCCTCCCCTCATCCACCCAGCCAGTCACGCCATCATAGAAGGCTATCAAGACTGGTCAAGCAAATTTCCTCTTGGTGAATCCATGTTGACCCCTCCTAATAACCTTTTTTCCTCTACATGCTTAGAGATGACATCCAGGATGGGCTATTCCATCATCTTTCCAGGGATAGAGGTGAGGCAGGCTAGGCTGTAGTTTTCCAAGACCTCATTTTTGCCCTTTTTGAAGACTGAAGTGACATCGGCTTTCCTCCAATCCTCAGACACCTCTCCTGTTTTCCATGACCTTTTGAAGATGATGTAAAGTGTCCCAGCAACAATATCTGTAAGCTCCCTCAGCACTCGTGGGTGCGCCCCATCAAGGCCCATGGATTTGTGGCTGTCAGGTTTGCCTAAATGATCTCTAACCCAATCCTACTTGACCAAAGGAGGGTTTTCCTTTCTCCAGACTTTTTCTCTTACCTCTGGGGTTTGGGGTTCCTGAGGGCCAGCCTTAGCAGTGAAGACTGAAGCAGAGAAGGTGTTCAGTAGCTCTACCTGCCCTGCATCCTCTGTCACCAGGGCACCCACCTCATTCAGCAGTGGACCTGTATTTTCCCTAGTCTTCCCTTTGCTACTGATGTATTTGAAGAATTCCTTCTTGTTGTCCTTGGCATCCCTTGTCAGATTTAATTCCAAGTGGGCATTAGCCTTTCTCGTTGCATCTCTGCATACTCTAACAATGCTCCTATATTCCTCCCAAGTGGCCACATTCTGTAATTTCTCCACATTCTGTAAACTTCCTTCTTCCATTTGAGTTTTTCCAGAAGCTCCCTGCTCATCCATGCTGGTCTCCTGCTTGCTTTGCTTGATTTCTTACTCATAGAGATGCACCAATCTTGAGCTTGAAGGAGGTGGTACTTGAATATTAACCAGCTCTCTTGGACCCCTCTACCTGCTAGAACCCTAACCCATGGGGTTCCTCCAAGCAGGTCTTGGTCTCCTGCTTGCTTTGCTTGATTTCTTACTCATAGAGATGCACCAATCTTGAGCTTGAAGGAGGTGGTACTTGAATATTAACCAGCTCTCTTGGACCCCTCTACCTGCTAGAACCCTAACCCATGGGGTTCCTCCAAGCAGGTCTTTAAAGAGGCCAAAGTCAGCTCTCCTGAAGTCCCAGGTTGTTATCCTACTTTTGTCCTGCTTCTTCCATGCAGGATCATGAACTCCACCATTCCATGGTCACTGGAACCAAGGCTGAACCCAACCTTCACATCCCCAACTAGAGTTTCTTTGTTAGTACAAGGTCCAGCCTCTCTGCTTGTTGGTTCCTGCACCACCTGTGTCAAAAAGTTATCACCAATGCTCTGCAGAAGCTTCCTGGGCTGTGCATGCTGGACTGTGTTGCCTTTCCAGCAAATGTCAGGGTGGTTGAAGTCCCCTATGAGAACCAGGGCCCGTGATCATTAGGCTCCTTTCAGGTGTCTCTAGAAAGCCTCATTGACTTCCTCTTTCTGATCTGGTGGTCTGTAGTAAACACCCACAACATTGTTTTTCTTATTAGCCTGCTCCTTAATTCTTACCCATAAGCTCTCAATTTGTTCTTCATCCACCCCTTGGTACAGGTCAATACATTCCAGTTGCTGTCTCGCATAAAGAAGAACTCCCACCACCTTGCCCCGCCACCAGCCGCCCACGACAACATTCCAGCCATGGGAGCTATCCCATCATGTCTCTGTAACTCCAATGAGATCATGGCCCTGTGACCGCACACAAGTCTCTAGTTCTGCCTGCTTACCCCTGGTGCTGCATGGTTGGTACACGGGCATTGCAGAGAGGTAGTAGAGCATGAGACTTCCCTGGAGGGGAGCAAGAGGATCCACCATAGCCATAGACACCACTGAGGTGGTTGGCCTTCTGGATCTTATCTTGAGAGACAGCTAAGGAACTCTTGTCACTGCTCTGGTTGGCCTGACTCATTCCCCAGTTGGATGCGATGGCCTGAGCCATTGTGGACCCTCACCCCCCGAGTCCTTTAGTTTAAAGCCCGCCTCACCAAGTTGGCCAGCCTGCTGCCAAAGATTCCCTTTTCTAGACAGGTGGATTCCATTCCTCCCTAACATGTTATCCTAGCTTAGACAAGGCTCAAGGTCATCTGCCTTGAGGAATGTGTAAGAATCATTGGGAGCAGATGTGAGAGAGAATCTCTTGCATGAGGTGGTCTTGTGCTTTGAAGAGTTATTGTCCTTCCCAGGCTGCCTTGTATTGGCTGTTAAAGAAGGGAACAACTGGGGCTTTTCCATATTCAGCTGTTCTGATGTTGCAAAGAGAAGATTTGAGTTTCTGTACTGAACAGCATCAGACAAAACTGAAATATTGATTAGATGTTGATGCTTTGTTTTGAATTTGTTCTGTTTATTCATGTTCTTGAATTTTTTTCAGGAAGATGCAAAAGTTTACAGGAGTCTAATATGCTTCTCTGTTTGATATTCTACCTCAGAAGCTCATCATTGATGAGAAGAAATACTATCTCTTTGGGAGAAATCCTGATCTGTGCGATTTTACCATTGACCACCAGTCTTGCTCTCGGGTCCATGCTGCCTTGGTCTATCACAAACATCTCAAGAGGGTTTTCCTCATAGATCTAAACAGCAGTAAGTAGTGTGACATTTAACCAGATAGAAGTACAATATTTCAGTGCTTAAACATTTCTGAATCTGAGACACTTTTTCCTTTGTGTTGTTTGCACTGTGTGGATAGATAACTATAATCTGAATTAGCATTGTAGTGAAAGATTGGCAAGTGTTAGGAGCAAAGGAGTGTTTGCTCCAGTCAGCTTACATCTACTTCACTTGGCGTTTAAAACAACGTTTTGAAGAATTCCTTCTTGTTGTCCTTGGCATCCCTTGTCAGATTTAATTCCAAGTGGGCATTAGCCTTTCTCGTTGCATCTCTGCATACTCTAACAATGCTCCTATATTCCTCCCAAGTGGCCACATTCTGTAATTTCTCCACATTCTGTAAACTTCCTTCTTCCATTTGAGTTTTTCCAGAAGCTCCCTGCTCATCCATGCTGGTCTCCTGCTTGCTTTGCTTGATTTCTTACTCATAGAGATGCACCAATCTTGAGCTTGAAGGAGGTGGTACTTGAATATTAACCAGCTCTCTTGGACCCCTCTACCTGCTAGAACCCTAACCCATGGGGTTCCTCCAAGCAGGTCTTTAAAGAGGCCAAAGTCAGCTCTCCTGAAGTCCCAGGTTGTTATCCTACTTTTGTCCTGCTTCTTCCATGCAGGATCATGAACTCCACCATTCCATGGTCACTGGAACCAAGGCTGAACCCAACCTTCACATCCCCAACTAGAGTTTCTTTGTTAGTACAAGGTCCAGCCTCTCTGCTTGTTGGTTCCTGCACCACCTGTGTCAAAAAGTTATCACCAATGCTCTGCAGAAGCTTCCTGGGCTGTGCATGCTGGACTGTGTTGCCTTTCCAGCAAATGTCAGGGTGGTTGAAGTCCCCTATGAGAACCAGGGCCCGTGATCATTAGGCTCCTTTCAGGTGTCTCTAGAAAGCCTCATTGACTTCCTCTTTCTGATCTGGTGGTCTGTAGTAAACACCCACAACATTGTTTTTCTTATTAGCCTGCTCCTTAATTCTTACCCATAAGCTCTCAATTTGTTCTTCATCCACCCCTTGGTACAGGTCAATACATTCCAGTTGCTGTCTCGCATAAAGAAGAACTCCCACCACCTTGCCCCGCCACCAGCCGCCCACGACAACATTCCAGCCATGGGAGCTATCCCATCATGTCTCTGTAACTCCAATGAGATCATGGCCCTGTGACCGCACACAAGTCTCTAGTTCTGCCTGCTTACCCCTGGTGCTGCATGGTTGGTACACGGGCATTGCAGAGAGGTAGTAGAGCATGAGACTTCCCTGGAGGGGAGCAAGAGGATCCACCATAGCCATAGACACCACTGAGGTGGTTGGCCTTCTGGATCTTATCTTGAGAGACAGCTAAGGAACTCTTGTCACTGCTCTGGTTGGCCTGACTCATTCCCCAGTTGGATGCGATGGCCTGAGCCATTGTGGACCCTCACCCCCCGAGTCCTTTAGTTTAAAGCCCGCCTCACCAAGTTGGCCAGCCTGCTGCCAAAGATTCCCTTTTCTAGACAGGTGGATTCCATTCCTCCCTAACATGTTATCCTAGCTTAGACAAGGCTCAAGGTCATCTGCCTTGAGGAATGTGTAAGAATCATTGGGAGCAGATGTGAGAGAGAATCTCTTGCATGAGGTGGTCTTGTGCTTTGAAGAGTTATTGTCCTTCCCAGGCTGCCTTGTATTGGCTGTTAAAGAAGGGAACAACTGGGGCTTTTCCATATTCAGCTGTTCTGATGTTGCAAAGAGAAGATTTGAGTTTCTGTACTGAACAGCATCAGACAAAACTGAAATATTGATTAGATGTTGATGCTTTGTTTTGAATTTGTTCTGTTTATTCATGTTCTTGAATTTTTTTCAGGAAGATGCAAAAGTTTACAGGAGTCTAATATGCTTCTCTGTTTGATATTCTACCTCAGAAGCTCATCATTGATGAGAAGAAATACTATCTCTTTGGGAGAAATCCTGATCTGTGCGATTTTACCATTGACCACCAGTCTTGCTCTCGGGTCCATGCTGCCTTGGTCTATCACAAACATCTCAAGAGGGTTTTCCTCATAGATCTAAACAGCAGTAAGTAGTGTGACATTTAACCAGATAGAAGTACAATATTTCAGTGCTTAAACATTTCTGAATCTGAGACACTTTTTCCTTTGTGTTGTTTGCACTGTGTGGATAGATAACTATAATCTGAATTAGCATTGTAGTGAAAGATTGGCAAGTGTTAGGAGCAAAGGAGTGTTTGCTCCAGTCAGCTTACATCTACTTCACTTGGTGTTTAAAACAACGTTTTTAGACTCTTAAGAGGCTAAAGGAGGGGAGGAAAGGGATTGGACCTTCCCTTCACAACTTTAATGAAGCTTTCTGTTCTGAAGGTGGTTTCCCAAGATCTAATGCCTGACATACTGGGGTTTTTTTTCCACTGAGGGAATGAGTCCAGACATGGTACACTGGGATCTACAAGAATCCAGAAAGTAAATGGTGTTTGTCATTTATTTCCATGACACTTTGAGAACTGATGTGTGTTATCTGATGTGTGTTTGTGAGATGGTAGGCAAAATGTGCATAGCTGTTTTATATCAGTGATTTATATCCCAGAGCAACCATGTACAGTTTCTGAACTTCTCAAAGACTTGAAGTCAAATACTGTCAGCCCAAGCTGATGACTGACGGGCTACTTTACATTTTGATGTTCTCAGCACATGGCACATTCTTGGGTCATATCCGTTTGGAACCTCACAAACCCCAGCAGATACCCATTGACTCCACGGTCTCATTTGGCGCTTCTACACGGGCCTATACTCTGCGAGAGAAGCCTCAGACACTGCCATCAGCCGTTAAAGGAGATGAGAAAATGGGTGGTGAAGATGAAGAGCTGAAGGGCTTGCTGGGCCTCCCAGAGGAGGAGACAGAACTTGACGTGAGTATGATGGCACACTGTAACTAGATGGCATTTCCAGCTAAACAGATAGCATTCCCCTCTGGTTTGCTTAGGTTCAGGTTCTTAATTTCTTGGCCTTGAAGATAGCCTGAGGTGTCTTCTGCTGGCAGACAGGCAAACCATCTTGTTCTGCCATGATAGGCGTGTGATCATGCTGCTTCCCAGAGTCAGTGATCAAAATCCTCCTATTCCAATGGTTTTCTTGCAAAGGCATGTCAAGGAGTATGCGCTCTCCAACTCGCGTTACCCCAGATCTGGCATGATTTCCAATACTCTTCGTTATTGCTAGGTAACAGTGAATGCTGCCCTTTTTCTACACTTAACTAGCAAAGAGAGAGAAAGCAGTGTGTGTGGCATTCACAGGATTATTGAGGTTGGAAGGGACCTCTTGGGATCTTCTGGTCCAGCCCCACTTGTTCGAGCAGGGTCAGCTCGAGCAGGTTGCCCAGGATCGTGCTCAGTCAAATTCTGAATATCTCTGCAGACAAGAGACTACAGCCTCTCTGGGCAACCTGTTGCAGCACTGGAGCACTCATTCTTCGTGAGGGTCTGAAGTTGAAGCTAAACAGTGTGCTGAGGTCTTTTGATATGCACAATCACATATTTAAATCAGTCTTCATGCACTAGTTGCTCAAACTATTTCATCTCCAAATTTGTTATTAGAATCTGACAGAGTTTAATACAGCCCACAACAAAAGAATTTCCACACTAACCATTGAGGAAGGGAACTTGGATATTCAGAGACCGAAGAGAAAACGGAAGAACTCCAGAGTGACATTCAGTGATGATGATGAAATCATCAATCCGGGTAAGTGGTTTGCTTCCATCTTTAATTGATTCCCTGAAGGCCCTCCTTCCAGCATTCTAATGGGGATTCCTCATGGCTGCATATGGATAAGGAGAACAGAAATTTGGTAGTCAGTATTTGTGATGTGCTATTTTAGAGAAGCTGCCAAACATCTCACTTAAGTCTTTGACCTCTTTCTGCTTTTGGTTTCTAACTGTGAAATAACCGTGTGATTTGTGTATCACACTCAGCTTCCTTGCTCAAAACTCTGTCAGATGTTGGAAAAATCTCATGGCTCCAAAAGAAGGAAAGTGTTTAAAATTTTTTGCCTTCTTTAGAATCTAAATGGGAACTGAACCTGATTGTTTTTCATCTGTCCCTTAGTGCTTTTCTTACTTGTTGCCTAATGGATATTTCTCTCAAGCTCAGAGGTTTTTCTAGTTGTCCGCATGTCTGTAACAAGTCATTCTCATCCAAAATGATGCTTCTGAAGATGTATCCAATTCCTAATTACTTATTTTTCTCCCTTAGCTGTTTTATACTAATGACACTTGTATTGATGATATTTTGTATGGATAATATTCCAAATATAATAAGAGTAGCTTATTAATGAGTGTGCATTTTAAAATATAGTAGGGAGGTAGTTTCATTTGGCAGTGTATACCACCCAGAATGGCTACTTTGATTTATAAGGTTATGCAGTTTAGTGCTCAGGGCATCCTAATGTAAACAGCAGTCATTCACATTACAAAAAAGGTAATTTTTTTCAGACTTTCAGAGACTCTACTTTGAAATCTTCTGACTCCTCCTTCAGGATCCCCAAGGATCTCTGGGGCTGGCTGTTGTGCCTCTGAGCACATGCAGTGGCTTGTCAGCAGCAGCTTTCAGCCCAGAACTCCAGTCTGTCTGATCAGTGCAAACTGGCCACCCATCTGTCCCCTTCCACTGGAGTAGAAGCTTTTCCTACTGGAAGATCTGATGAGCCCACCTTGAGGCAAAGCCACTAGGTGTCCCCTGAGCTCCTCTCTGCGCTTGGGCCTGCTTGTGCTCACCCAGAGCTGCTGCAGCACTGCTGTTGAGAAAGGTCCATCTACCAGTTCTTCGTAGAGGTTCCTTTTTCTGATAGATGTTCTGTCTTTTCCTGTATTCTTACTAAAAACTTCACTATTCTTGCCTTTACAGAGGATGTGGACCCTTCTGTTGGGCGTTTCAGGAACATGGTACAGACAGCAGTAGTCCCAGTTAAGGTACAGAGTAATTCCCAACTTTCTAATTAATGCATTACATTGATGAACTCACTTTACGAATTACACCTTAGAAGCACAATGTTCTATAGTGGAAAATGTTTTATTGTTAAGGAAAAGTTGTGTTCATGTTCACAATTGTCTTTTTTCAGCAGACTTGAAATCAAGCTCTTTTGACACATGAAATCAATGGCAATTGTTTTTTTCTTCATAAAAAGAATCACTTTCCAGAAATTCAGTATGGTAGTTCTAGGCATCAGTTAAAACTGTGGGGAGTGTGGAAAATAAAAAGTAAAAATAAGAGGTTTTTTGTTTAAATACTGGAAGTGCTAAAGATTTCATAAGGTTGTCTACTAAAACTAGCAGGGTTTAGGCTTTTCTCCAAGGGGAGCCTGTTGCCAGTGCTGTATTTAATTTGAACATGGTAGGAATAGGGAAGATCTACAAAACTTCAGGGTAGCCAAGCAACAGTGTAACAGCAATTTTGCTTGTTGCTGGTATACAGTAAGTAATGTATATGGAAAAGGATAATTCTACCTAAAGCCCAGACTGCAGGAAAAGATTCAAATGATCAAGAGTGAGACAAAATCACCCAAGTGATGTAGAAGTTGAAGTTTCTTATTTTGGGGGGAAGGAGGGTCTGTGTTACTGACTAAGGACCTACTTGGTCTTGCGTTCAGGACAAGCTCAGTCCTGGCAGGCGTGTGCAGGAGGTAAAGAGGTGCTCACACCTGATGGAAGTGAAACCCGAGTTTCAACTTCTTGTTGTCCCTTCCTGCATTGTGCACCTTTAAGAGTTCAATATTAAGTGGTTTTCAAGGAAACTCAGAAGAAATCTTCTGGGACAAAGACTTGAGATGTGGCCTGTAACCACTGTATGTGTGGCTGGTTTGGTTGACTTCTGGGGGGGAAATGATGTTGGCGTCAAGTTTAAATAGCCTGCTTGTTTCATGTATTTTGAGTAATTCTTTAAATACTTCCATCTACAGAAAAAACGGCTGGAGAATCCAGGAGCATTGACAACAGATGATTCTGCATCACGACGTATGCAAAACTTCCCCTACAGCGGAGGATTATACGGTGGTTTGCCCCCAACTCACAATGAGGCGGGTTCCCAATCGCACGGCGTCCATGGGACAGCACTCATCGGGGGGCTGCCGATGCCTTACCCCAACCTGGCCCCAGATGTGGACTTGACTCCTGTTGTGCCCTCAACAGTTAACATGAACCCAGCTCCAAACCCTGCTGTCTTTAATCCTGAAGCTGTGAATGAACCCAAGAAGAAGAAATACGCAAAGGAGGCATGGCCGGGCAAGAAGCCAACCCCCTCCCTCCTGATCTGAGTTGGGGTTTGTTGAGTTACGAACTCCAGAAACTGTTCATGTGCAGTATCGTCTTTTTAAAATTTCAATGTCCTAACCAGATGTAACACCAAGATTGGAGAAGTGAAATATCCTTTAAAGATCTGTCTTCAAACGTTTTTATATGTCTGTTTAAAAGAAAAAAAGAATGTACAGCTCCCATCTCCTTATATATCTGGCAGCCTTTTCTTAGCCAATTACTGGTCCCCAGAGGTGTTTACTCTGAATTTCAAGGGGCAGAGTCATACAATTTAATTACCGTTTATGGCATGACCCTGCAAATTTGTGTATTTAGGTGTCGTGCTTACTATGAGTAACGTTTTTCTTGCTGGACTTGCTCATAGCAGGTCAGCTGTATCAGACATAAATGTCTGTGGGGCCAAGCCTTTCAGAAATCCCATTGATATGAGTTCCAAAACTTGCAAAATATAGGTCAGCTTTTATTTTTTTAAATATTCAAAGTCCCACCAATGTGGGGTGTTACCTTTTTTTTGTTGCTGTTTTTTTTGGTCACAACTTGTTTTAATTTCCACCTAAAACACTACAGCATCCCTTTAGATCATGAGAGCGTGGAGCTGAGATGGTCGAGGAGGAGGAGGTGTGCTACCCCAGCTGTGGTCCAGCGCGGTGCGATGGAGAGCGGTGAGGGGGGGGAGAAGAGGATGTCCCCCAGCTGGAGCCGAGGGCAGCGTCCCAGCCTGGCAGCCATCTACACTGTGCAGAGAGTGAAGTAGGGCTGACTTAAGGTGGAGTTAGCACAGAGGAGAACAGTTTCTTTTACAGTTGGTGGCCCTTTTAAATAGTTTCACTTTTATTTACAAATGGAACTTGTGAGCTTAGGTATGTGTGAGATGCAACAAGACACACATAAAGATGAGCAGGTGTCAGAGGACTTGGTGTTTAACACTTACAACCCCAATCTGCATTCTCTTCTGGCTGCTAGGAGCAGTGGGGGAAAACTGAGTGCTACTCGAAGCTAGAATATAAATTCTCAGTAGAGAATCTCCCTCTCCTTGAATAAAGCAGTGCACAAGTTGGTTTCACATTATTAGATTTTTTGATGACTTCATCACTCTCCCATTGAGTAAAATGAGCAGCTCAATTTGGATTGTTGCTCTGGCCCTTCACATCCTCGGGTTTACGTTTCAAAATCTGATTCAGATGCTGTGCCTTTACTTTACACAAGGTAAGGCCAGAGCTCTGTTTCTCTTAAGTTTCCTTTGGCTATTTTTACACTCTCTAATGCAGTTCAGCTGCCCTGTCACGTTCCGGTGTTGTGTGGGGGTTTCTCCGGGAGGTGTGCGCTGAGGTGACCGTGTCCCTGCTGGGGCTGTGCGGGTGGGACGGGGGCTGCAGTGGAGCTGCGGCGCTGCCCTGCGTGGGACAGAGGTACAGAATCAGTGTGACTTCTGCATCGACAGAGCGATTGCTTCTATCATGTTATTGAGGTAAAAAGGAGCTGGCAGCTGCCCCGTTTACAAGAGCAATGGCTTTAGAGACTGGTTTGTTCCCCTCCACGCACCGTCCTGTCATACGGATGGGTACAGAACCTTCTCCAGGATACAGCTGCGCCGCTCTGTGTTTAACTGTCATATTATTGAATATGATTCAGTCTTCAGACATTCTGCTTCCAAACACTCCATGTTGACTTCTAAAATCTTTCTCCCTTTATTTTTAGTTTTGCTTCTTCCTGGTATGTAGAATTTTCTTTTTCCAGCCAGTCTGCTTTATGAAGGCAGCTCTCTAGCGTAAGACTAGTTAGGGCAAGTAAAAGTTGAACAGATTTCTTCTTCCTGTTTTTTCCATTTTGGGTTGTGTTTTGTTTTGGGGGGATGCGTGGGTGGTAATTATTTTGGGTTTTTTATGAGTGGCTCTTTGCAAGATTTTTCTTGAAAAGGGAAGCTTTACTGCTCATTGGTTTTTAAAGCTCTTCTCCCCCCTGGGTTTGAACAAGCTCTCATTATTTTAGAGCTTAGAGGCCATAGCTGGCCGTTACCAGAGGGGACGGTGTAACATCTAGGGGCTTGTACAGAAGTTTGTACACTTGTGTAATATGTAATAGGCCTTTTCACACTTTCTGTTGAGCTTTTTACCTGTAACCTTTACTATGTTGTAAATAAAATGCAGATTTTGCCAGTTTGCAGTGTTAGTGTGTCCGTTCCCAGTCTGTGCTTCAGCAGTTGGGACTGCTGGTTGGTTTGTGCCTGGCTGAAGGATTTCTGCCCTGGCCAAGTGCAGCTTTCGCTGCAGGTCTCCTTCGGAGCGGCTGCAGCTCATAAGCGCGCTCCATCTGCTCTGCCTGTGCCCTGCACTGCTGCCCTGTCCTCTGGGCACCGCGCTTCCGCACACGCGGAACGCTGAGCAGTGGATTTCAAACAGCAGCCACCCTTGTTTGCTGAGTGAAGTTTCACCTGGTTCTGGCATAATCCTCCCTCTGCAAAAGTTATACTTTAGAGCCTGACTTTGCTCTTCTTGTGGCTGCCCTGGCCTCTGGATTGTCCTGGACAGTCTGGGTGTGCCTTTGTCACCCTGGGGCTGTGCAGCTTGGCCAGGGCTCCCTGGGGAGAGCTGGAGTGAAAAACAGTAAATGGGGACCTGGTTAAAGATAACCCTGGTGCCTGCGGTGTAGGATCGAGAGGGATTCCCAGTCTTGGCCAAATTTAGTAATATTTAGGCTGTAGATGAGTATTTATTCTCCATCAGGCAACATCCTTTACACAGCTGGGGTGGTTATATTTTTATTATTGCATGTCAGCAGAAGGCTGAATCTTCGCAATTCATGTCCAAGCTGCTGGTCTGCCATAGGTAGAAATATTTGGTACAAATTAAGTAGGTAACTTTGTTAAGTGTTGTTGTGTTTAGTAGCTAATTTCCTGTATTAAAGGAAATAGTGAGAAGGAGTCAACTTGCACAATAATCTAAAACCCTCTGCAATGTAGAATGCAGAGATGGGAACAAAGAAGTGGAGAAGAATTTGCAGCTGAAAAAATGATTGAGCTAAAGAATAATGGCAGTGTTTTCCTGGAACATCTGTCCTTGCAGCACTCACTGGATTCTCATTGTAACCCCCCTTCTCTCTCTGGGTTTTGAAATACAGGAGTGCAGTGTCCAGCAGCATCCCAAGAGCTGGTAAGGAGCTGACACAAGTTCTGTTCCCGGTGAGCTGTGCAGTGAGACACCCGTGTGTTAGATTCTGTCACAACATGCCTGAAGGAATGACTTCTTGGAGAGGAGGTGACTTCTCCCTGCGGCCTTTTAGGAGAGCAGGAATGGCATCCAGCACAGGGCAGGCGAGTGCCAGCTGAAGTGTGGGTTCCTGCAGTTCTACCAAATGCTTCAAAACACTCGGTGGCGTGGGCAGAGACCACGGGGGAGGGTAGGACTGGAACAAGTGGCTTAGAAGAAGCCAGAGAACTGGGCTGTGTAATGGCTACCACAGGTC